GAGGTAGGTCAATAACTGTCTTTTATGGTAGAGAAATAGGCAGACAGGTCGAGTAAACCTTGTGGTCTGAGGCCACAAGGGCAGCCACTGAAGGCACTGCTCCCGAATCCAGAAGCTACGGCCCTCCACCCCACATTCACCCACTGGTGGGCATCGCAGGGGCATATTCTCACCAGTGAAGGGGACATGGAGGACAAAACAATCTCTCGGACAACACAAACATCAACAGTTCAAACGCACTGAGGAACGTCAATAAGAGAGAAACACTGACCCAGCACACCAGTGAGGAAAGAGACATGCAGCAGAAAAGGCTGGAATCATGGCCACTAGTCCTGAGAACCAGGTAGGTGTTCTTAAAAACGGTTTGGGAAAACCAACTAGGAACGCGGTGGAAGGGTGACCAACTCAGATGCCTGTGGTTTCCACATGGGAAACAACTTAGAGAGTGTGGAAAAATCCAACCACGCAATCTAATTTTAAACTAGAAATAACAATGTTCGTTCACATTAGAAAGGCCAATAATATCTGTAATGTAGCTACTGACAGTATCCTTTTTGTACTGCAACTTTTATTCCAAATATTCCAACTTCTCCCCCACTGACAAGTGCTGCTCCCTATAGCACGCCTCTTTCTCTTTACATACCAGTCTATACACTGGTGTATGTTGCACAGTTAATTAGCTGAACTAGGGGTGGAATCCTGGAAAGCACAACAGACCATACTTTCTGTTCCTGTTTTAGAAACAGCTGTCTCTAACCTGTCTGCCCAATTCCATCTTACATGAAGTGCTAAAAGCACACAGAGAAGCAGTTCATTCTTCTATAAAGTGGTGAACTTGGTTCGATATGCCATTTTAAAAGAAATAAGAAAAAAGAAAAACTAAGACCTGCACTGTAAAAGCATAATATAGGAGTAGATTATAGCTACTCCAAATTTTAGAGTGACCAGAGTTAAAAACTATTACTGTTATCACTGTTTATTTGACAATAGTTCGTTTAGTCTACAAGTTTAAGGCAAACATACTAATGCATTTGCTTTTCTTCAGAAATCATACTTATAAAGATTACGTAAAGTCTGTCCCAAAACTTCTAAGAAACGTTCATTAATTAAAAATAAGTCTCATTAAGATGCTTTACCAGGATACAAGAACTAAGGTGGTGTACAATGTTTTTTTAAAACAAAATTCAAAAAAAGGTAACGGCAATCCTTATCTTGTTTACACAATGTATTTTGAAAGGGTTAAACTTCAGAAATTACTTAAAAGTAAATAAGATTAGCAGCCATAAGGAATACTATTCATAAAATAAGCACAGTTCTAGAGGCTACTTTAAAAAAGGCAGTACTTTGGGCTTCTGAAGAGGAGGAGGGCGCGATGATCATCAACTGTCTGCGGCGCAGGCGCGCAGGTCCCATCATGCAGCCCACAGCACCCGAGGGCGGCACCGCGCCATTGTTTCTCAGAAAAAGGGAGAGTAGATGCACTTTGTCAGCTGTTTCTTTTGTTTCCAGTAAGCAGTAAATGTCTAGCATCATTAAGAAAAAAAATAAAATCTGATGGAAGGCAGCCCTTTTTAACTGGAAGGCAGAGAGTGGCTTATGTGTCTCCATTTAACACTGCCAGGCAGTTCTGCAGCAACTGTAGGTTACCCTAAAAAGGGAGGGAAAATAAATGAAGTTCAAACAGTGTGAAAGACTCTTACTGAAAATATACAGTATTAGAAATCATGTAACTTTACATTTAAGATATCAGAATTTTGAAAAGTCATTTATTATATACAAGTAAAGGTTTAAAGACGTAAAATTACAGAATTTGTTCCATGCACAATATTTTCCACATACCAGATAGTTCAGTAAATTTCCGTCTAGACCAATATTAATATTTGGCATGCTCTAGTGAGGGTTATAAAATATGCCCTTTGTATGCAGATTAAACCACTGAGTATGTTCTGATTGTAAGACAGGTTCTTATCACATTCCTTTAGCCATTAAAATATAGCATTAGATTTATAGCACTTTTTATAAAAATAGTAAGATTACATACAGAAGTATTCTATAAAATTCATACCTAAATGTCCATTTGTAAAACATGTGAACTGGCACCCACATTTAGAGACATATAAAGGCAAATTTAAGTATATTTAGGTTACATTAATATATAAACAGGAATGAAGGAAAACCTCCTCAGAGTAGAAAGTCAACTAAAGTGTATAAAGAATGATGGAATTAGAAAATGACCATTTGGCGATCATCATCATCATAACTGACTCAAGCAAAAATCATGAATGGATGCCAAAAGCAGTATGGGACTAAAATGCCAATACTGTAGCCATCAGCTATGTGCAGCTGCATAATTAAAATTTCTGTTAATTAAAATTAAATAAAAACTCAGTTCCTCAGTTGCATTACCCACATTTGAAGTCTTCAATAGCCACACATGACTAGTGCCAACCACACTGGACAGAACCCAGACTTCCTGATTACAGATTACAGAATATTCCCACCGTGGCACAAAGTTTTATTGGTCGGTGCTGGTTAAGTGATGGGGTATTTAACAGTCTCGGGTACCTCCCCCCAGAATACTTCTTAATCCAAAGTATAAAATATCAACTTTGCCACTGTGAAGCCTGCAGATATCACTTTAAGCAAATGATCAAAGTTGTACATTGCCAGTAAGGCAACTGATCAACAGCATGTGCCCCCTCCTGTGTCATGCACCAAGAAGATCTGACATCACTTCTGGGTGGAATTCCTGTCCAAAGTGCACAACCTAAACCCACTAATTAGACAAACCTAAAGTGAGGGGCATTCTATAGGCCTGTGCTTTAACAGTGTCCAATGTTATGAAATACAAAGATTCAGCAATTTTTCCAGATTACAGAAGTCTAAGAAGACACGTGCACTGAATGCAACACATTCTCTTGAATTTCCTTTTGCCATTAAGGACATTATTGGGACAACTGGGGAAATGTGAATAAAGGCCTCTGGATTAGATAACAGAATTATGTTGATATTAATTTCCTCAACTTTATAACTGTACTGAGTATTTAATTACTTGATTTTAGGAAATTCACACTTAAATGTATAAGAGGGAAGAAGCATCATATCTGCAGTTTATTCATATGGTTTAAGACAAAAACAGGTGTGTATAGGGGTGTGTGTGAGAGTGTGAGTGTGTGTGTGTGTAAAGAGAAACGGGGAAGAAGGGAGGGAAAAGGACAAAGCAGATGCGATAATATGCACATTTGGGGAATCTGGGTGAAGAGTATCCAGGAATTCTTTGTACTTTCCTTGCAATGTTCCTGAAAATCTAAAATTAAGTGAAAAATAAACATTAAACATTTTCAGGTGTTCAAGTTACTGTCAATTTTTGGCCAGTATAAGAACAGAACTGTGACAAATGACTTTCAGCCGGTCTATAGTTATGAAATTACCTTCTTAGATATACTTCTTACAGGTATATTCCTCAAGTGGGACCGCTGAGTCACAGGATGCACATTCTGCAGGCTGACACCTGCCAAACTGCCCCTGTCAAAGGTGGACCTAACTCTGCAGCTACAACGGGGTACACAGGGACTCACATCACACCCTCACAGTTGGCTCATCACTTTTTTTTTTTTTAACTGCCCATATCACAAATTTTTTACTTCCTTAATAAAGAATCTATTTTCAAGGACACAAAAGTGACCTAACTACCTAGTTAACTAGATTTCAATTATGTGGCAAAGACATATATACCAGTTACAATAAATAAAATTCAAAGTAGTTTCAAAGCATCTTGTTGTACATTTAACTATTATCTACTCTTTTTGGAATAATTTATGTGGATCCTGGGACCAAAATGGGACTTTGTTCAGATTTACAAAGTCATTAAGAAAGCTCAGACAACAGAGTAGAGTTGCCCAACCTCAGCACTCCCGACATTTGGGCTGTGTGATCCTTCCTCGTGGGGGCTGTCCGTATATCGTAGGATGCTGAGCAGCACTTCTGGCCTCTACCCACTACCCACCAGCAGTGACCCCCCCCCACCCCCAGATGCGACAACCACATATGTCTCCGGAAATTGCTAAATGTCTCCTGGGGGGCAAAATCACCACCAGTTAAGAACAACTGGACTAGAAGAGCTATCAGAAATTTGAACACAGAGAACACATTTCAGGAAGAATTTGAAAAAGTACAGAATCTGGAAACCAGAGGCTGACATTAATCTAAAGCAGGGTCAGCAAAATTTTTGTAAAGGGTTATTAAATAGTAAACATTTTAGACTTTGAGAGACATTTGGTCTCTGTTTCAACTACTCAACTTTGCTGTAGTAGTATGAAAGCAGTCATAGACAAAGCATAAGTGAATAAGCTTAAGCGAATATGCTTGGCTGTATTCTAATAAACCTTAATAGGTTAAATTTGAGTTTCATACAATTATCACATGTCATGAAATATTATTCTTTTGATCTTTTTATAATCATTTAAAAATATGAATGCCATTCCTGGCTCACAGGCTGTTCAAAATAGGTTGTAGTTTGTCAACCCCTCCTTAATCTATAACAAAATCCTTGATAGTTTATAACCTCTTTAAAAAGAACAAAAACAGTGAACACTGGAAAACACAGGCTCAATAAGAATAAATTATGCCAGGCTTATCAAAACATTTTCTTTTTTTGGGGCCACAATGCATGGCACGCGGGACCTTAGTTCCCCGACCAGGGATCGAACCCACGCCTCCTGCAGGGAAAATGCAGTCTTAACCACTGGACCACCAGGGAGGTCCATACATTTTCTTCTGACAGGGTTATTAGCCCAGCAAATCAGACAACATACATCTTGATTTTAATGAGTAACTTGATACTCCTTATGTCCTTTATAGATAAAATGGGAAAAATAATGGTTGACAATAGTATAAATGAATTCCTAACTATCCAAACTAAAGAATATTAATTAATAAGTTAATATCAATTAGTATAGAAAGAAAGGAACTAAATTTTTTTTGGTGCCACTTACTTTCAAAAGGTAGGTTAACAAACAGTGATTCCTTTAATCCTGATCAACCTTTTAAATCAAAACTTAGATGAAGACATAAATGGGAGTTCATACAAATTACAAACGTCCATCACTTGACAGGATAAACTAGTATAATAGTCAAATACTATATGATCAAACCCAAGTTTCCAAAAGATCTCAATGCGCTGGGCTAAGACGAGCAAGCTTAAATTTAACAGACATAAACGTGGCCTGCAATTACATTTTTAAAATAAGTGCTCAATAAATGAAAAAGTTCTAGAGAGCCACTGTACAACAACACGAATATACTTAATACTACTTAACTGTACACTTAAAAATGGTTAAGATGGTAAACTTTATGTTATGTGTTTTTTACCACAAAAATGAAAATAATTACTAAAAAAATTAAACACACAACCACAGGGCGGAGGTTCAAGAAGTGACTTAGAAAGAGAGAAAAAAAGTGTGATTATAGCCAAATCAAGCTGGTGCGATATGGCAGTTAAAAAAAAACGTATCTTATACATATAAAACATGCTTGGAGAGGAGGGATAAATTAGGAATTTGGGAGTAACATACACACTACTATATATAAACCAAATAAACAACATGGAACTACTGTATAGCACAGGGAACTATACTCAATATTCTGTAATAACCTATCTATGGGAAAAGAATCTGAAAAAGAATATATACATATATACGTATAACTGAATCACTTTGCTGTACACCCGAAACCAACACATTGTAAATCAACTATACTTCAATAAAAAATAAAAAACATGCTGTAAGAAGAAATGTGAACAATAATCATTCTATGTATGTAAATGTGTTTCCATTTTCAGGTATAATATTTTAAAAGAGCAATGACAGTAGGGCAATAATACAATAAAAATCTTGTTGAGGTGTATGGGATGAAAAATATTTAGCCAAAGGATGTCTGGCATGGAGAAGATAAGATATATAGAGAATATGAAGGATTTAAATATCTGAAGGGTAAACTGTGAAAGAGGAATTAAACTTATGTCAAAGTTACACAGAAGTAAATTCGTGCTCATTATAGAGTATACCAAAAATCTCAGTGTAGTTTTAAGCTTTAATAACTTTATACTCATAAATGGTATAAATTTATCACGAAATAACATAAAAGTTTTAAAAAATTTCTTTAATATTTATAGTTTGGGGAATTTTGAACACATTTAAAATTTTCAGTCCCTTTGAAGATGGCAAATGTTAAATAAAATTTTAAGTGATGTTTTTATTAAGTACGACTTTTTTTTTAACAACTAGTCAAAAAATGATACTGTTTTTCCATATTAGGTACTACAGTCTTGCAAAGCTGACCATTAGAGACATTATAGATATTTTTCTTGTTTAAGTTAGATAACCTTTAAAATAACCTTTAAAATCCCTCTCAATTCTAAGATTCTCTGTTTTTAAAATTAGTATAAAGTTTCATAACTGACTCATCTGTAAATTATGTCACTTAAATTATTAAATCTTTAATATGATACTACCTTTGCATGCTTCAGTTCTAACTCTGCCAGTTCCACTAAATTTTTTCTGAATGCAGCAACTCTTCTTGTCTTAAAATCTATAAGCTCTGTGAACAAAACAAATTAGGATTAACTATTTATATAATAGGCAAAACAAATTAGGATTAACTATTTATATAATAGGCAAAACATACCTTATGATTAAAGGTTAATATAAGAGTACCTTGTTTTGCAGATTCAGATATTTTTTCAAATTTCTGACAACATAACTGTTGGGATGTTTCAGCCTGCAGAACATCTTTATTTTTTGCTCTTGCTTTATCCAGTGCTTTATTAGCATTTTCATAATCCACTAGTGACCTAGATCTTCGATACAGGAGATCCTATAAAACAGAATGCTTCACAATAATATATGCTGCATGTTTCTAGTAGCTGCCCTCAGCCACTGCCACCCCCATCACCAGAGCTAACACACAGTGAATGCCACATGTCATTCTTCTAAATTTTTTTGGTAACAGCTTTATTGAGATATAATTCAAATCACCACATAACTCACTCATTTATTTATTTTTAAAATTTATATATTTATTTGGTTGTGCCAGATCTTAGTTGCAGCAGGCGGGCTCCTTAGTTGCGGCTCACCAGCTCCTTAGTTGTGGCAATGTGAACTCTTAGTTGTGGCATGCATGTGGGATCTAGTTCCCTGACCAGGGATCGAACCTGGGCCCCCTGCATTGGGAGCTCTGAGTCTTAACCACTGTGACACCAGGGGAGTCCCTAACTCACTCATATAAGTGCATGATTCAACGGTTTGTAGTATGCTCATAGAGTTGTGTAACCATCACTAGCCTCAATTTTAGAACATTTTCGTCACCCAAAAAGAAACCAGGTCCTTTAGCAGTCACTCTCCATTTCCTTCCACACCCCCCAACTCCAGCCATGGACAACCATTAATCTGCTTTCTGTCTCTACAGATTTGCCTATTTTGGACATTTCATTAAAAAAGGAATCAGGGACTTCCCTGGTGGCGCAGTGGATAAGACTCCACGCTCCCAATGCAGGGGGCCCGGGTTCGATCCCTGGTCAGGGAACTAGATCCCACGTGCATGCCACAGCTAAGGCTCCCGCCTGCCGCAACTAAGACCCTTCGCAACCAAATAAATAAATAAAATATTTTAAAAAGGAATCATATAATATGTGGCCTTTTGTATCTGGCTTTTTTTTTTTTTTTTCCTTTTTGGCTGTGCTGTGGCTTGCGGGATCTTAGTTCCCTGACCAGGGATAGAACCTGGGCTCTCAGCAGTGAAAGTGTACAGTCCTAAACACCGGATCGCCAGGGAATTCCCAATTCTGGCTTTTTCACTTAGCATAAAGTTTCAAGTTCATCCGTTTTATACCATGAATCAGTACTTCATTCCTTTTATTGCTAAATCATATTTCATTGTATGGACATACCACGTTGATTTATCCATTCGTTAGCTGACAGACATTTGGTTTGTTTCCACTTTTTGGCTATTTCATAATAATGCTGTTATGAACACGTGTGTACAAGTTTTTGTGTGGACATGTTTTCACGTTTCATTTCTCTTTCATATCTCATTACTCAGGAGTGGAATTACTGGGTCACCTTGTAACTCTATGTTGAATCTTTTGAGAAACTGCCAGACTATTTCCAAAGTGACCGCACCATTTTACATTTTCCCACCAAAACTACATGAGGGGTCCAATTTCTCCACATCCTTGTCAATACTGTTGTCTTTTTTTTTTTTTTTTTTGCGTTACGCGGGCCTCTCACTGTTGTGGCCTCTCCCGTTGTGGGGCACAGGCTCCCGACGCACAGGCTTCCGACGCACAGGCTCAGCGGCCATGGCTCACGGGCCCAGCTGCTCCGCGGCATGTGGGATCCTCCCCGACGGGGGGACGAACCTGTGTCTCCTGCATCGGCAGGCGGACTCTCAACCACTGCGCCACCAGGGAAGCCCTGTTATGTCTTTTTTTTTTTTTATTTTTTTTTTATTTTTATTTTTTTTCCTGTTATGTCTTTTTGATTACAGCCACCTACTAGGTGTGAAGTGATATAGCACTGTGGTTTTAATGTGCATTTCCCTGAGGGCTAAAGATGTTGAGCATCCTTTTACGTATTTATTGGCCATTTGTATATCTTCTTTGTCTTTTGCCCACTTTTTAATTGGACTCTTTGTCTTTTTACTGTTATAAGAGTTCTTTATATATTCTGAATACCATTCGCTTATTAGGGACTTACATGATTTCCAAATATTGGGTTGGTCAGAAAGTTTGTTTGTAACATCTTATGCAAAAGCCGGAATGAACTTTCTGGTCAACCCGATATTTTCTCCTGGTCTGTGAGTTTTTTCATTTTTCTCGACAGTGTTTTTTTTTTTTTTTTTTTTTTTTGCGGTACGCGGGCCTCTCACTGCTGTGGTCTCTCCCGTTGCGGAGCACAGGCTCCGGACGCGCAGGCTCAGCAGCCATGGCTCATGGGCCCAGCTGCTCCGCGGCATGTGGGATCTGCCTGGACTGGGGCACGAACCTGTGTCCCCTGCATCGGCAGGCAGACTCTCAACCACTGCATCACCAGGGAAGCCCTCAATAGTGTTTTTGATACAAAAAACTTTAAACAAAAGTTTTTAAAATTTTAATAAAGTCCAATTTATTATTTTTATTTGGTTGGTGTGCTTCTGGTTATAGCTAAGAAATCAATGCCTAATTAAGGCAATCAAGAAGATTTATGTTTATGTTTTCTTCTAAAAATGTTATAGTTTTAGCTCTTACATTTAGATCTTTGATCCATTTTGAGTAAATTTTCTATCCATGGTGTGAAGAAGGTCCAACTTTATTCTGTTTCACGTGACCATTCAGTTGTCCCAGTACCTTTTGTTGCAAGTCTATTATTTTCCTCACTATATTGTCCTAGCACTCTGTCAAAAATCAGTTGACTGTTTCGTCAGCAAAATAGGAATAGAAGTAACACCCTCAACTTGATAAAGAACATCTACAAAAAACCTACAGCTAACATCATACTTAATAGTGAAAAACTAGAAGCTTTCCCACTAATATCAGGAACAACAAATGGATGTCCCATCTCACCACTCTTTCTCAATACTGTACTGTAGGTCCTAGTTAATGCAATAAGAAAAAGAAATAAAAAGTATACAGATTGGAAAGGAAGAAACAAAACTGTCTTTTGTTTACAGATGCCAGATAACAAGACTGTTTATATAGAAAAACTCCTGGAATTAATAAATAAGTATAATAAAGTTTTACGAAAGAACATCAGTATACAAAAGTAGATTGCTTTCTTGTATACCAGCAATGAACAAGTGAAATTTGAAATTAAAAACACAATACCATTTACATTAATTAGCACTCCAGAGAATGAAATACTTAGGTATTAATCTAACAAAGCATGTACAACTTTTGAGGAAAACTACAAAACTCTGATAAAAGAAATCAAAGAACTAAATAAATGGAGAGATATTCCATGTTCATGGATAGGGAGGGGGACTCAATATTGTCAAAATCAGTTCTTTCCAAATTGATCTACGGATTCAACATAATCCCAATCAAAATCCTGGCAAGTTATTTTGTAGACATCAACCAACTGATTCTAAAGTTTGTGTGGAAATGCAAAAGACACAGAGTAACACAACAGTGACGGAGAAGAACAAAGTCAGAGGACTGACACTACCTACTTTAAACCTTTCTATAAAGCTACAGTAATCTAGACAGTGTGGTACTGGTCAAAGAACAGACAAACAGATCAATACAACAGAACAGAGAGCCCAGCACTAGACTCACACAAATAGAGCCAACTGATCTTTTGACAGAGGAGCAAAAGCAACACAATGGAGAAAAGATAATCTTTTCAACAAATGCTGCTGGGAAAACTGGATATCCACAGGCAAAGAAACGAATTTATACACAGCCCTTACACCCTTCATGAAAATTAACTCAATGGCTCATAGACCTAAATGTAAAATGCAAAACACAGGAGAAAATCCGTATGACCTTAGGCGTGGTGATGACTTTTTAGATACAACACCAAAGGGATGATCCAAGAAAGAATTAATTGGTAAGTTGGACTTCTTTAAAATTAAAAATTGCTGGGACTTCCCTGGTGGCACAGTGGTTAAGAATCCGCCTGCCAAGGCAGGGGACACGGGTTCAAGCCTGGTCTGGGAAGATCCCACAGGCTACAGAGCAACTAAACCTGTGTGCCACAACTACTGAGCCTGCGCTCTACAGCCCGTGAGCCACAACTACTGAGCCTGCATGCCATAACTACGGAAAGCCCACGCGCCCTAGAGCCCGTGTGTCACAACTACTGAGCCCATGTGCCACAGCTACTGAAGCCTGCGCGCTCTAGGGCCTGTGTGCTGCAACTACTGAGTCTGTGTGCTGCAACTACTGAAGCCCGCGCACTTAGAGCTCGTGCTCTGCAACAAGAGAAGCCACCACAATGAGAAGCCCGCGCACTGCAACAAAGAGTAGCCCCCTGGGGCTTCCCTGGTGGTGCAGTGGTTGAGAGTCTGCCTGCCGATGCAGGGGACGTGGGTTCGTGCCCTGGTCTGGAAGGATCCCACATGCCGTGGAGCAGCTGGGCTCGTGAGCCATGGCCGCTGGGCCTGCGCGTCTGGGGTCTGCTCCGCAATGGGAGAGGCCATGGCAGTGAGAGGCCTGCGTACCGCAAAAAAAAAAAAAAAAAGAATATCCCTCCGCTTGCCACAACTAGAGAAAGCCTGCGCGCAGCAACAAAGACCCAACGCAGCCAAAAATAAATAAATAAATAAAATTAAAAGAAGAAAATAAAATAAAAAATGTCTGCTCAGCAAAAGTGTGTCAAGAAGACAAGCCACCAGACCAAGAAAACTTTTTTACAAGATATTTGATAAAAAGGACTGCTATCCAAAATACACAAAGAACTCTTAAAACTTAACCACCAAAGTAAAGAATCGGCCAAAGACCTTTTTTTTTTTTTTTTTTTTTGCGGTACACGGGCCTCTCACTGTCGTGGCCTCTCCCGTTGCAGAGCACAGGCTCCGGATGCGCAGGCTCAGCGGCCATGGCTCACGGGCCCAGCTGCTCCGTGGCGTGTGGGATCTTCCCGGACCGGGACACGAACCCATGTCCCCTGCATCAGCAGGCAGACTCTCAACCACTGCGCCACCAGGGAAGCCCCAGAGACCTTTTTTTTCAAGACAGACACCTCACCAAAGAAGACACAGAGGTGGCATATAATACAGCTTGTGAAAAGATGCTTCACATCAAATGTCATCACAGAAATGCAAATTAAAATGACATACCTCTACACACCTTGTTAGAATGGCCAAAATCTACAATTCTGACAATACCAAATGCTGGTGAGGATGTTAAGCAACAGGAACTCTCATTCATTGGTGGTGAGAATGCAATGATATAGGCACTCTGGAAGACAGTTAGAACTAAACATACTCTTATCATATGATCTAGTGATTGTGCTCCTTGCTATTTATTACTCAAAGGAGTTGAAAACTTATGCTCACACAAAAACCTGCACATGGATGTTTACGGCAGCTGTACTGATAATTGCCAAAACTCAGAAGCAACGAAGATGTCCTTCAGTAGGTCAGTGGATAAATAAACTTGATATATCAAGGCAACAGAATGTTATTAAGTGCTAAAGAGAAATGAGCTATCAAGCCATGAAAAGACATAGAGGAAACTTAAATGCACATTACTAAGTGAAGAAGCCATTATGAAAAGACCCAACTATATGACATTTTGGAAAAGGCAAAACTATGAAGGCAACTAAAAAATCAACAGGGGTTAGGAGGAAGGCGAGTGAATAGATGGAACACAGGATTTCTGGGGCCGTAAAATTATTCCATAAAATCAAGCCTTGGTAAGCCTCGGTAAATTTAAGAAAATCGAAAAAGAAAAACAGCTAAAAGAAAATTGAAATTGTATCAGTATCTTTTCTGACCACAACACTATGAGACTAGATTTCAATTACAGGAAAAAAACTGTAAAAAATACAAACACATGGAAGCTAAACAATATGCTATTACCAAGAAATCACTGATGAAATCAAACAGGAAATCAAAAAATACCTAGAAACAAATGACAATGAAAACATGATGACCCCAAACCTATGGGATGCAGCAAAAGCAGTTCTAAGAGGGAAATTTATAGCAATACAATCCTACCTCAAGAAACAAGAAAAATCTCAAATAAACAACCTAAACTTACACTTAAAGCAATTAGAGAAAAGAAGAACAAAAAAACCCCGAAGTTAGCAGAAGGAAAGAATTCATAAAGATTAGATAAGAAATAAATGAAAAAGAAATGAAGGAAACAATAGCAAAGATCAATAAAACTAAAAGCTGGTTCTTTGAGAAGATAAACAAAATTGATAAACCATTAGCCAGACTCATCAAGAAAAAAAGGAAGACTCAAATCAACAGAGTGAGAAATGAAAAAGGAGAAGTAACAACTGACACTGCAGAAATACAAAGGATCATGAGAGACTACTACAAGCAACTGTATGCCAATAAAATAGACAACCTGGAAGAAATGGACAAATTCTTAGAAAAGTACAAGCTTCCAAGACTGAACCAGGAAGAAATAGAAAATATGAACAGAACAATCACAAGCACTGAAACTGAAACTGATTAAAAATCTTCCACCAAACAAAAGCCCAGGACCAGATGGCTTCACAGGTGAATTCTATCGAATATTTAGAGAAGAGCTAACACCTATCCTTCTCAAACTCTTCCAGAATACAGCAGAAGGAGGAACACTCCCAAACTCATTCTACGAGGTCACCAACACCCTGATACAAAAACCAAAGATGTCACAAAAAAACCTACAGGCCAATGTTACTGAGGAACACAGATGCAAAAATCCTCAACAAAATACTAGCAAACAGAATCCAACAGCACATTAAAAGGATCATACACCATGATCAAGTGGGGTTTATCCCAGCAATGCAAGGATTCTTCAACATATGCAAATCAATGTTATACACCATAGTAACAAATTAAAGGATAAAAACCATATGATAATCTTAACAGATGCAGAAAAAGCTTTCAACAAATTTCAATACTCATTTATGATAAAAACTCTCCAGAAAGTGGGCATAGAGGGAACCTACCTCAACATAATAAAGGCCATATGTGACAAAGCCACAGCCAACATCATTCTCAATGGTGAAAAACTGAAACCATTTCCACTAAGATCAGGAACAAGACAAGGGAGCTGGGGCTTCCCTGGTGGTGCAGTGGTTCAGAATCTGCCTGCCAATGCAGGGGACATGGGTTCGAGCCCTGGTCTGCGAAGGTCCCACATGCTGCAGAGCAACTAGGCCCGTGAGCCACAACTACTGAGCCTGCGCGTCTGGAGCCTGTGCTCCGCAACAAGAGAGGCCACGATAGTGAGAGGCCCGCGCACCATGATGAAGAGTGGCTCCCTACCTGCCGCAACTAGAGAAAGCCCTTGCACAGAAACGAAGACCCAACACAGTCAAAAAGAAAAAAAAAACGAAAAACAGAAAACATTGAAATAAATCACATTTCACCTAAAAAAAAAAAAAAAAAAAAAGACAAGGGAGCCCACTCTCACCTCTATTATTCAACATAGTTTTGGAATTTTTAGGCACGGCAATCAGAGAAAAAAAAGAAATAAAAGGAATCCAAATCAGAAAAGAAGCAGCAAAACTGTCACTGTTTGCAGATGACATGATACTATACACAGAGAATCCTAAAGATGCTACCAGAAAACCACTAGAACTAATCAATGAATTTGGTAAAGTAGCAGTATTAATGCACAGAATTAATTAATGCACAGAAATCTCTTGCATTTTTATACACTAATGATGAAAAATCTGAAAGAGAAATTAAGGAAACACTCCCATTTACCACTGCAACAAAAAGAATAAAATACCTAGGAATAAACCTACAGGCGAAAGACCTGTACTCAGAAAACTATAAGACATTGATGAAAGAAATCAAGGACGATACAAACAGATGGAGAGATATACCATGTTCTTGGAGTGGAAGAATCAACATCGTGAAAATAACTATATTACCCAAAGCAATCTACAGATTCAATGCAATCCCTATCAAACTACCAATGACATTTTTCACAGAAGTAGAACAAAAAATTTTACAATTTGTATGGAAACACAGAAGACCCTGAATAGCCAAGGCAATCCTGAGAAAGCAAAACGGAGCTGGAGGAATCAGGCTCCCTGACTTCAGACTATACCACAAAGCTACAGTAATCAAGACAGTATGGTACTGGCACAAAAAGAGAAACATAGATCAATGGAACAGGATAGAAAGCCCAGAGATAAACCCACTCACATATGGTCACTTTATCTTTGACAAAGGAGGCAAGAACATATACAATGGTGAAAAGACAGCCTCTTCAATAAATGGGGCTGGGAAAACTGGACAGCTACAGGTACAACAATGAAATTAGAACACTTCCTAACACCATACACAAAAATAAACTCAAAATGGATTAAAGACCTAAATGTAAGGCCAGACACTATAAAACTCTTAGAGGAAAACATAGGCAGAACACTCTATGCCATAAATCACGGCAAGATCCTTTTTGACCCACCTCTTAGAGAAATGGAAATAAAAACAAAAATGGGACCTAATGAAACTTAAAAGCTTTTGCACAGCAAAAGAAACCATCAACAAGATGAAAAGGCAACACCTGGAATGCGAGAAAATATTTGCAAATGAAGCAAGTGACAAAGGATTAATCTCCAAAATATACAAGCAGCTCATGCAGCTCAATATCAAAAAAACCCAAAAAACCCAATCCAAAAATGGACAGAAGACCTAAACAGACTTTCTCCAAAGAAGATACACAGATTGCCAACAAACACATGAAAGGATACTCAACATCAATAATCATTAGAGAAATGCAAATCAAAACCACAATGAGGTATCGCCTCATACTGGTCAGACTGGCCATCATCAAAAAATCTACAAACAATAAATGCTGGAGAGGGTGTGGAGAAAAGGGAACCCTCTTGTACTGTTGGTGGAAATGTAATTGATACAGCCACTATGGAGAGCAGTATGGAGGTTCCTTAAAAAACAGAACTACCATATGACCCAGCAATCCCATGATTAGATGGGAATTTTCTGTACATCTCAATTCATAAATTAACACGGAATTTGGAGTATCTGAGCCACTAAGTTTTCAGTGTTTTTTAGATGTTTTTATTAAACTTTTTTTTGATTAGTATGAGTTTTAGTTTTGCACATCGATTTCCAAAAGGAAACTTGAGATGCCTTAAAATAAAACATACTCCTGTTTTATGGATCTCTCACCCTCAACAGAGGACTCAGATAGACAAAATTAGGAATCCTTTAGCTGTACAACTGTTATTTGGGGGCTTTACTTTTGTCTTTGCAGGTATTTCACCTGACTAAATATACCAAATTCAATTAAAAAAAAATTCTAGACAAATTCTATCAGGAGTTTATAGAGGAAACTTTTATGTGGGGTTCTCTGACCTACAATTTATAAAAGGAGAAAAAAAATCATACTTAAAAATATAATTTAAAATCAAGAGATAAGTCATCTTTAACAATCTTAAGTCTAACAACCTTTAAGCAGATGATGGCTTTTTGTAAAGCAGTCCATTTAAAAGAAAACAATACTTACCTTAGCAGCTTGAGATTCTCTTAAGTAATATTTTAAAAGGTCAGAAAGTTTGAGGTCCTCATCAGCTGACACTCGTGCTTCTATTTTCTGAAAAAGGGAAAAAAATTGGGTATTTAATCAGTACTTACATTCTATACTCAGTGTTTTCTTTCTTAATTATTGTAAAAAAGTTAGTTATAAATAACTACAGTATCAATTCCTATTTAAACTAAGTTTCCTTTCCTTCTCTTTTGTTAGTCTGTTAGTTTTTTTTTTGTAACTGACAAAAAAATGAACAGATTAGTGAATTTATGGAAGGATTCTATATTTGACTCAAGTTCTTGGCTGTAATGAGTTTAAACATCATATGTCAGGTTCACCTGTGTTTTTCTCTCTATTCATTTCAATGGCAATTGATATGTACACATGATTATAAAGTAATAGAGGCTGGCAACAGCAGTAGACTAGGTAATTCAAACCAATCCTTCTGCTGTGGACAACCAGAAAACAATTTTAAAACATTAAGTCTGACTAAAAAGATGAGAACTCGGGACTTCCCTGGTGGTCCAGTGGTTAAGAATCTGCCTTCCAATGCAGGGGACAAGGGTTCAGTCCCTGGGCGGGGAACTAAGATCCCACATGCCAGGGGGCAACTAAGCCTGCGTGCCACAACTACAGAGCCCACACGCTCTGGAGCCTGTGTGCCACAACCAGAGAGAAGTCTGTGCATCACAACTAGAAAGAAGCCCACATGCCACAACTAGAGAGAAGCCTGGGGCTTCCCTGGTGGCGCAGTGCTTGAGAGTCCGCCTGCCGATGCAGGAGACGCGGGTTCGTGCCCCGTTTCGGGAAGATCCCACATGCCGCGGAGCGGCTGGGCCCGTGAGCCATGGCCACTGAGCCTGCGCGTCCGGAGCCTGTGCTCCGCAAATGGGAGAGGCCACAACAGTGAGAGGCCCGCATAACGCAAGAAAAAAATAAATAAATAAATAAATAAATAAATAAATAAATAAAGAGAGAGAAGCCTGTGCACCGCGACGAAGAGCCCACATGCCCTGGAGCCCGCAGCACCACAATGAGCAAGAAGCCCATGCGCTACAACTAGAGAGAAGCCGGCCTGCGCTACGAAGAGCCCACATACCGCAACAAAAGATCCTGTGTGCCGCAACCAAGACCCAACGCAGCCAAAAATAAATAAAGTAAATAAATAAAAACAAGGATGATTAAAAAAAAAAAGAAAAATAAAAAATAAAAACATGAGAACTCTTCATTCAGTCTGGAGAGACAGAGAATAAAGAAGAATGTATTATGTCAACCAAATACAATATGGGAACCTTGTTTGGATCCCGATTCAAACAAAGTCCACCGTAAAAAGCCATTTATGAGACAACTGGGAACATTTCTATACTAGATATTGATGACAGTATGGAGAATCACTGATAATCATATTGGTACATTAAAAATTTTTTTAAAAAATATTTATTTATTTGGCTGTGCCAGGTCTTAGTTGCATTATGCAGGATCTTTTTTGCCAACTGAAGGATTTTTACTGGAGGCATGCAAACTCTTAGTTACGCCATGTGGGATCTAGTTCCCAGACCAGGGATTGAACACCAGCCCCTTGAATTGGGAGCGTAGAGTCTTACCCATTGGACCACCAGGGAAGTCCTGGTACGTTAAAATTGATTCTTATCTTTAAAAAAGAGAGAGAGAAATGTGCACAAAGGGCAAAAAACAATAAACATGGACTTCTGGGAATAAAAGAACTTTAATGTAGAAAATGTTAACATTAAGAAAATCTGGGTGACACACGTACAGGAATTCTTTGTACTATTCTTGCAACTTTTCGGAGACTCTGAAATTGTTGTTAAAATAAAAAAACCCTACACATCCACCAGAACACCTAAAATACCAAATATTACAAACTTGTGCAGCAGTGAGATGCTCACATTCATTCTGGTGGGAATGTAAGTTGTTACAATCACTTTGGGAAACAGTTTGGCAGTACCTACAAAAGCTTTTCACATGGATATCCTATGAACCATCACTTCCTCTCCTAGTTACATACATTCAACAGAAATGAGTACTTATGTTCAGCTGAAGATAAGAATGGTCTTAGCAGTACTCTTTGTAAAGAGCCCCAAACTAGCAACTATCCAAATGCCTACCAGTAGAAAAGATAATAAATTAGGTATGTTTTTGCAATGGAAAACTATACAGCAATAAGAATGAAGGAGCTATACCGACATGCAACACCAATGAATCTTATGTATGTAATATTGAGTAAAAGAAACCAGACATAAGGATATATACTGCATAATCCATTTACATAAAATATGAAAATAAAATTAATTTTTGCTGTTAGAAGCTAGGACAGTGGTTAGCCTTGCAGCCGAGGTGGTGACTCAGAAGGCAGCTGAAGGGGAACAGGGCATCCGAGTTGCTGGTAATGTTCCATTTCTTGATCTGGGTGTTCGTTACATGAGTGTGTTAAACTGTGACATTTCACTGAGCTGTACACTTCTGTTATGTGGTTTTTTCTACATGTATAATACACTTTAATAAAAAGTTTTGAAAAAATCTTCAAGTTTCTTTATGGAGAAACAAACTTACAGAACTTCTTGACATGCTAGATGATGTTCAGTGCTTTTAAATAGGGCTTCTCTCCTTCCATTAAGAAGTAGGGTATGTGTCTTCTCCCCTTCAATCTGGGCTCTCAGACTGCTTGCCCAATACGGGAATGATGCTGCGCCAGTTTCCAAGCCCAGGCCTTATGAAACTAGCAGCTTCTACTTCCCATAATTTGGGGTACTCACTTTTGGAACCTCTTTACCATGCTGTGAAGAAGCCTAAGCAGCTCCATGGGAAAGCCACATGTAGGTGTTACAGCCAAGAGCCCTATCAGAAGTCCCTGCTGATAGCCAGTATCAACCCCCAGACATATGAGTGAAAGAGCCTTCAGATGATTCCAGGCCCTGGCCTTCATATCTTCCCTGTTGAGGCCCCAGACATCATGGAGCAGAAGCAAGCCATCCCTGCTGTGTGCCCTTTCTGAATTCCTGAACCAAAGAGTTCACTGGCATACTAAAATGGTTGCTGTTTAAAGCTACTGATTTTAGGATGGTTTGTTACACAGCAATAATAACCAGAACAACGTGCAAATACTAAAGGGAATGAAGAATTTTGGGGCTATGGAAATGTGCCACCCAGATCTCCAAGAGAAATGCCTGCTGCAAGGAGCACAGTTGACTGATAGCCCCAACTGCAGTATCTCTGGATCTGGAACCATGTTCATACGAAAGTTATGTTCCATCCTCCCCACCCAGCCCATTCTTGCCTGATGTAGAACTCCTCTAACGGGCAGCTCTGGCTCAGGCACTCCCCTCCAACGTGGACAAAGCTTTCTTAGGACTGCGCTATAGTCTGAAACTCCTCCTACACAGTCCTCCTTCCTCTCCCTCTCCTTTTGCAGGTGTAGACCTGCACTGTTATTGGAACTCTCCCCTCCTGTCTACTCCTGCTCGTTCCTCTTTGTTTTTCACAATAAATCTCTTGTACATTTAATCCCACCTTGACATCTGCTTCCAAAAGAATTGACACATAAGGCTGTTTTGTGATAGATTCCTATTCTTCTGATATAAATGAACACGCACACAAAAACAACTATATCTTCCCAGAAAATGCTCACTGGTACAAGTATCAAAGCAGAATAATGAGCTATATGGACCCCAGTATAACATTTACTTACATATTTAAGAACTTTTTCCTTTGTGATAGAATATCTCCTTTTCTTTAACTTGTCTCCACTACTCAACTGCCAAGGTCATGATGAAATCTGATTTCTACAACGGACTAGCCACCACGACTCTCAGGTAAGTACCATTACAAATCTAGTAAACATTTTCACTATCAACTGATAGACAGAATGATCATAAATTAACATGACCCCTGAAAACCAAGACTATATCAGTATTAAATTATTACTACTATGAATGAAAACTTTCTGCAGTTATATTTTTGTCTTATGCTGATACAACTCTTTTTTAAAGCAATGTGTCATGGGGGATCAAAAGCAATAATCTTGGTAAAGTTATAGTGAATCTAAGATTTTCTTCTAGCTTAAAAAGCCCCAGGAAAAAAATGATCTTTCATAAAAATAAACCCAGCCTCCTAATGAACACGTTTTCTGATCAAGAGTATGAACTTTTACACATATACCAAAAGACCATAACAAAAACTAAATTTCCTGAAAAACTCTCATTATTTCCAAATTTAAATCTGCCTCTTCAACCTTTTGAAGTATAACTCATCTTCCTCAATAAAGTTAAACACAGCGCAACAAGTTAAACACTACTGTGTGCAGAGATTCAGACTCCCAAAGGTTAATTATTAGTACTTACTCTTGTTTTATCAAAAAGTTCTGAAACTTTAAGAAAAAACCTGGAAGGGAAAAATATTTCATCATAAATAATTTTCTATTTCAAATGTTCAGAGAATATACCCCAAACCAGATTAATAATGAACATTCTTACCTCATTACAATATTTGTCTTGTTCACTGAAGACTTCATTTAGTTCAACAAAAATCTCTGTACGTCCACCCATGTAACAGATTCCTTTTGACATACGATTACAGAAAATCTTCCCATTTCAAGGTGGCGGTCTAAGCCATATGTTAAAAACTTAAAAACTCTGTCTCGATATCCTTTGGTAATATGCCACATAATATTAAATAAAACCATACCTTTAAATTATTACAGAAGTACAGGGCAATGACATCCAAAGAGTTACGTCTTAAATACTTTCAAATGGAGCTGCTTTGTTTTGGAAAACAACACAAATGAATAGCCAATCTCTACTTCATAGCTCACTTTCACTTTGTTTTTTGGCCGCAACCGGCAGTTTGCAGGATCTTCTGCAACCAGGGACTGAGCCCGGACACTGCAGCGAGAGCCCAGGGTCCTCACCACTAGGCCGCCAGTGAAGCCCCCACTTTCACTATTAATTAAAAAGCCCATCTCTCAAACGCTGACACCAACTAAAAAAATATCCCCATGCCAAACTATTAAATGGTATCCTGTAAAATATGTAATTATCAATGACATTATATTTGGATTAGGGCAAATACTATTGAAAGCTAAAATGAATTTTATGAACTTCACATTACTAAAAAGAACTTGCTTTGAGAGGTTTATGAAAGATAACACATGGCAAGGTTGACGTTTTTCCTTCTTATCAAATACTTAAGAACTAACTCTTTGGGAAGGTAGCATGTTAATTAGTGTTTTGCTGAAAAACTAGATATGCTGAAAAACTGGATCTGACATGTCTACTGAGACAGGATATACTATAGAAAAGTTCAAGGATGTGGTTTGGAGAAAGGCATGGACTAAGAAAATAGTTTTTCCACTTAAAATTTTTAAAATGTGTTTGAATTATTTTTCAACAGAGAGCTGGGTTTAAACATTATAGGAGCAACTAAGATTATTTATGGTACATTGAAATCTGGCCTCCAATGAAATATATATATATGTATGTGTGTATGTGTGTGTATATATATATTCTAATTCTAAAATAGCATTTATTTATAATAAACATTATAAAAATCTAAGAACACTTAAACATAAATTCTGTCTCTTTCACACATACAAATTGGCAAATTTTCATCAAATGAAACACTGTAAATGTTAAAATTATATATACTAAGGTCGATTTTTATTTCTCACATTTAAAAAACAAGGAGGGAAAGGGAAGAGAAAAATGACACTGACCTAAGTTTATAAAGAAGTTCCATATTATCAATGTGTTTTGACAAAAATATTCCAAAATGCCTGCTGGGTCAGAAGTATTGTGTGTGCCTGAGCTGCTAACAAAAATTTTGTTTTACTTATATTTAATGTTTTAAATCAGAATGCTTACTTGCATATATCTGTAGAATCCTGAGTTCCTAAAGCATATAATGAAGAACCAATTCTATTGTAATCGTCTGCAGCACCTATGGAAAAAGTTTTAAGAATTTAATATGTTTATTCATTGATTCAAAAATAGTTACTGAATACCTACCTGTCAAAAAAATGTGTATGTAATATGAGATGCCCAAAGTCTAGTGAAAGAAATGACAAAAACTATAATACAAAATGATGAATTTTATATTAGAAGTAGGTATAAACTACATCGCGAGCAGGGGAAACAGATGATTTCACCTGAGGAGGTCAGGGAAGGATTTACAGACACTACAGGAGTTGGAGCTCGCAGGATGAGCAAATCTTTACTAGGCAAAGAGGAGGAGAGTGCATTCTGGATAAAGGGAAGAGCATGGAAAAAGGCCAGGGACACATAAAAGAGCAAAGTATATTCAGAGAGCCTTCTGGGACTATGGCACTGCAGGGTACAGAGGGGAGTGGAGAGGGTTGAAGATGGAGAAATCAATTTATTTTTCTTCTAAGCATCTTGGGGGAAAGAAAGGTTTTTGTAAGCCATGATGAAGTTTGGACCTGATCTTGTGGGAATGGGTGTTAGTAAACATTTTAAAATCCTAGTAGTGGTGCAATCAACCTGTTAAGGATTTTAGATTAAAAAATTCTGCTGCCTTGAATAAAGACTAATAGTAGAGAGACACAGAAGGCACACTGACCAACCAAGAAACTGCTGTGTCAGATGCTGAGGGTCAGGATCAAGGTAGTGGAAACATTAAGAGCAGAGAGGAACTGACAAAGCTCGAAGATATTTAGGAAATGTAACAGGTAGGATTTACAAACAGTAGCCCTGAGGCAGAAGCGTGGGAAGCTAGATGAATGGTAGTACCACTCCCCTTGGGTGCTAGGAAGCAAAGTACTCAACGTCAGCACAGTACTCCTCCTAGGGCTTGCCCCACAGGACAATGTCCTTGTTGAGAAAAGATTATAATTTCAGAAAAGGAATAGCATAGTGCAATGGTTAAGAGCATGGACCTGTAACCAAACTGTCCAATCCCAGCTTCCCAATTTACCAGCTGTATGACCTTGGTCATATCACTTAACCTGCCTGTGCCTCAGTTTCCTCATCTGGAAATAGGGATAATAATGGTACCCAATTCACATAATTATTTGGAGAACTAAATGAGCTAGTAAACATTACTATAAACTTGGCACACAGTGTATACAGTACTATACAAATGTTTGCTATCATTAATGAAATCCTAGACATGCCTACTTTGTATTCCCACTTATACTAGTAGTATTTCTACCAGGCTTTTATGTGTTTATCCCCTAACAAAACAGTAATGCTTACATTATACTTTCTTATTTTGCACAAAATTACATTCAACTGATATGGCTGAAATTTGGTGACTACTTACTTATTGTTACTCAAATCTTCTATCCTGATATCTTTTATAAAGAAACTTCAAGTACAAACTTCAGACTATGAACAGTAACTTATATATAAGACTCTTCACTATACCCTAACAGGTTAAGTTAAAAAAATAATAATAATACTCAAAAATCACTTAAAGGTTGGTTTATTGAGAGGTAGGAATCAAAAATGGTTTCTGTGTTTAATACTGAATACATTAATAGTTTATGCTTAGGCTGACCTTGAAATTATTTTTTGGAGCAAGAAATTCCTGTATTCTTACTAACATTAGGCTTTGAGAACACTACCCTCTTTAGTTATTACAGCATTATGTGATCACGAAAAATATACAAACTGTCCTGATTTTACAAATCACAGTGACTTATAAAATTATTAAGTTGAAAAGCTTAATTTTTCATAATCCAGGCTAAGTTCATTAATTATGAAAAAATAGTTTTTACTTTATAATTTTGTAAAATTTTATTACAGTTGACCCTTGAACAATGCAGGGGTTATGGGTGCCAACCCTCCCCGAAGTGAAAAATCCCTGTTTAACTTTATAGTTGCCCCTGTATCCATGGTTCTGCACCTGCAGATTCAACCAACCTCGGACTGTGTAGTACTTTTACAATACTACATATTTACTGAAGAAAAATCCGCATATAAATAGACTCACATAGCTCAAACCTGTGTTGTTCAAGGGTCTACTATATATGTAAGGTAATTAATTATATGTAACAGTCGTTTTTTTTTTTTTTTTTTTTTTTTTTTGCGGTACGCGGGCCTCTCACTGTTGCGGCCTCTCCCGTTGCAGAGCACAGGCTCTGGACGCGCAGGCTCAGCGGCCATGGCTCATGGGCCCAGTCACTCCACGGCATGTGGGATCTTCCTGGACCAGGGCACGAACCCGTGTCCCCTGCATCGGCAGGCGGACTCTCAACCACTGCGCCACCAGGGAAGCCCAACAGTTGTATTTTTGTAAAACAGGATCACTATCATCTCCCCTAAAACACCATTCCACTTGGTCAAATAAACAGTATCAGTAAGAATCACTAATATTCTGTTTTCTTAACAGATGATTCCTATAGTTCTTTATACTTCCATGGCACTAATACACACTTCTATGATAGGATTAATTTCAATATATTGTAATTTTTTGCTTTTAGTGTTTATCTCACCTGCAAAATTATTAATTCCTTAACGGCAAAGACTGTTATTTTCTACATCTTGAAATCATCAATGTCTAACATGATGGTTGGCACATAATAGACAAGTCAATGTTTATGAATTAAATAACTTTTTAAGAAATTTAAAAAGTATATATAGTAGGCTTCCATTTTTAAATTATGAAATCTAAACTTAAAGGTATTCCTAATTATTACAATCAACACTAGTATGTACCATTTCGTATTTACAAAGTTTTTCTTTTTTGGGGGAAGGGGGTGTGCCTACAGGCTGGGGCCAGGGCCTAGTGGGGGTGGGTGGAGTGTAGGGTTTCCTAGGAAGGCACCCAGGGTGCCGCTGGAGCCCTCAGGGTGCACTGTGTGACTCCGGGTGTGTGTGGGGAGTAGGGAGTAGTGTGTGTCCTGATGGAGGGGCCAGGAGAGGATGGGTTGGGACGAAGTTTTTCTTAACAGAGCAGTGAAAGTATGAGGTATTTTATCCTTAATGTCATTTTATAAACAAGGAAATCAACACAAGACTAATTATGTGAATTGCCCAAGGCTCTAAAGCAAGTCAGTAATGAATTTAGGAAGGAATTCAAGTTTCCCACACTTAGACTATACAGTTCTTAACTACTGAACAGGCAACTAAGAACTACTACTTCATTAGAATGAATCTGCAAATCACAAAGATACAGGAAAATAAAATACAAAAAGAACTCTTAACTCTCTCAGAAGAATGACACAAGAATAGAAGTTACCAGGCCTGAGACTCCTTTACTTCCTCCTTTCTATTAGAGTATGTAACAATACCCCAAAACGGAGGTTCGTACTTCTAGGTACCTACTGACCTGTCTGTATATCAGAGGCTCTGAAACTTTTTGGTTTTAGGACTCCTTTACACTCTTAGAAATTACTGAGGACCCTAAAGAGCTTTTGTTTATGTGGGTTACATCTATCAATATGTACTGTATTTTTTTAAAAGTAAAACAAAAATGTTAAATATTTACTATTTTAAAATAACAGTATTAAAACCATTAATACGTTTTGGTTTTTTTTTGGCCGTGGGGCATGTGGGATCTTAGTTCGCCAACCAGGGATAGAACCCGTGCCCCCTGCATTGGAAGCACGGAGTCCTAACCACTGGACTGCTAGGGAAGTCCCATAAACCATTATAAGTTAACATTTTAAATGAAAAATAACTATTTATATATTTTAAAATTAGCGAACACAGTGGCACTGTTAGATTTTTGCAAATCTCTTTTGCGTCTGGATTAATAGAATAATAATAATAGAATAGCTCCATTCTCTTATCTGCTCTGCATTCACTCTACTGTGATACGTTGTTTTTGTTCAAGTATCGGGAGAAAATCTAACCTCAAACAGATGTGTCGTTGGAAAAGGAGGAGGCATTTTACTAATATTTTCAGAAAATTGTGGATACTCTACTCAACAAGCAGTTTAAGTTTAAGGGTTAGTTCCTGTGGGGAATCTAAAATCCTATCAATGAACTTTGTGTACTCTATTACATTAAATCTAATGATATAAGTGATATTTACCCCAAGAATATAAGGTTGGTTTAATATTTGAAAATCAATCAATATCATTAACCATATTAATAGACTAAAAAAGAAAAACCATATGGCTATCTCAATTGTTGCAAAACAGGCTTCCCTCGTGGCACAGTGGTTGAGAGTCCGCCTACCGACGCAGGGGACACGGGTTCATGCCCCGGTCCGGGAAGATCCCACATGCCATGCAGTGGCTGGGCCCGTGAGCCATGGCCGCTGAGCCTGCGCGTCCGGAGCCTGTGCTCTGCAAGGGGAGAGGCCACAACAGTGAGAGGCCCGCGTACCGTTTCCTTTTGGGGTCATAAGCTATTTCAGAACTAAATAGAAGTATTAGTTGCACTGCATTGTCAGTGTATTAAATGCCACTGAATTGTTCACTTAAAAAAAAAAAAAAAAAATCAGCTGTCAATTGTTGCAAAAAGAGCATTTGACAAAATCCAACATTCATTCCTGACTTAAAAGGCATCTAGGAAAAATCTACACCTATCATCATAATTAACAGCTTAAGACTGATGCTTTCCCCATAAGAAACAAGGCCAAGTTGCTTGCCTTCACCACTTCCATCAACACTGTACTCGAGGGTATAGCTATAGTATAATGGGGCAAGGAAAAGAAATAACCAGCATTCAAATTGGAAAGGAAGAAGTGTAACTGTTTTTATTAGCAGATGATCGTCTATGTAGAAAATCCTAAGGAATCTACAAAATAGTTAATAAAGCTAATAACTGAGTTGATCTAGTAAGGTTTCAAGCTATTAGCTCAACACTGAAAATACAATGCATCTCTATATATTGGCAAAAAACAACTGGAGACTGAAATGTAAAAAACACATTTACAATAGCATCAAAAAATAATTAGGGATCTAACTAAAGATGTATAAGATCTGTACAAAGGAAACTATAAAACACTGCTGAGAGAAGACCTAATTAAATGGAGATATATACCATGTTCATGTATCAGAAGAACCAATAGTGTTAAGATGTCAATCCTCCCCAAATTGATCTACAGATTCTATACAATCCCAATCAAAATCCCGGCAGGCATTTTTGTAGAAAGTGACAAACTGATTCTAAAATCCATATGAAAATGTAAAGAAACCAGAGGGGCCAAAATGACTTTGATAAAGAAGAATAAAGTTGGAGGACTTATACAAGAAAAGATGTTCAATATCATCAATCATTGGGAAATGCAAATTAAAACCACACTGACCTAGCAGAATGGATAAAATTTAAAGAACTGATTATCTTTATTGGCAAGGGTGTGAAGCAACTGGAACTCTCGTGCACAGCTGGTAGGAATGTAAAATGGTACAATCATTTTGGAAAAAAAGTTTGGCAGTTTTTTTTAAAAAATTAATTGTACACTTACACTTGACCCAGCCATTCTACTTCTAGGTATTACCCAAGAGAAATGAAAGCATATGTCCATACAAAGACTTACATACAGATGGTTTATGTCAGCTTTATTTCAAATGGCCAAAAGCCAGCAACAACCCAAATGTCCACCAACAGCTGAATGGATAAACAACTGTGGTATATCCATACAATGGAATACTACTCAGCAATAAAAAGAATGAACTATTGATACATACAACATGGATGAATCTCAAAGTAATTTTGTTGAATTTCAAAGCCAGACCATAAAGAGTACATACTGTATGATTCCATTTATATACAACTCTAGAAAATGCAAGCTAATCTACAGACAGAAAGCAGATCAGCGGTGGCCTGGGGATAGGCACAGGAGGGAGCGATTACAAAGGGCCAGAAGGAAACTTTTGGTGGTGATAGATATGTTCATTATGTTGACTGTGGTGATGATATCATACATATGTCAAAACTTATCCAACTGTACACTTTGAACACTGAAGCTTATTGATATCAATTATATCTCAATAAAGCTGTTAAAAAAACCCCATTTTAATCTATCTTGTACTTTAAATAGATCTTTTACATACATAATTTTGATCATTAAGAAAATACTAGTTCAATTAATCACACAGATCTTCCAAATGTTGACACACTTCAGTATATAGTATCAAAAATATCACACTAATATTATCATCAATCTCCTCAGATTAAGTCTTTAATTACTGAAAAGCAAGCTCATGGTGACTGATACAAGTTTTCCAAAATTCTAATTATTGCTGGAAAGCCTGACCTTTATCATTGTCAACAAACACTGTCAGCTGTTTTCCATGAAGTGTCAGGCCCATTTAATTAATTTTTAATAAAATGTCTACCAAATACTCGTTTCAATGATCAGTTTGTCAGTTGTTCTTTCAAGTAAAAATGGTATTTTATGAAAAAAAGCAGCTAGCTCAGTTGCAACTCGTTCACTAAAATGCTTTTCTAGAGAGAACCATCATACACCCATATGCAAAGTGCTTTATGCATACCTCCCATTTCGTCACTCAGAATATTAAAAAAAGTATACTCAAGGGAAGAGACTTTCCACAAGTAATAAGTTTCACTGCTTCATCAAGGACCTTCTTTTTCTTAAAAATTTAAATTTAATTTTTATTTTATACTGGAGTATAGTTGATTTACAATATTGTGTTAGTTGCAAGTGTACAGCAAAGTGACTAGTTACACATTTACATGTATCCATTCTTTTTCAGATTCTTTTCCCCTATAGGTTATTACAGAATACTGAATATAATAGTTCCCCTGTGCTATACCATCAAGGACATTCTTAAACGAAATTTTAAATTGCAAATGCGCTGTGGGAAAGAATACAATGACTATTAGTTTGGTGCCACTGCCTTGATTTGTGCTAAAGCACCAGCAGTTTATCCACCACAGCGTTTGCAACATCGGTGTAAACGTCAACATGGTGAAAAAGACAAAAAGCATCATAGTTTTATTATGAAAGTAGTTTTGACCTCACAGACTTGCTTAAAGGGGCCTTAGGATCAAAGCTTCATAGACCACAGTTTGAGAACCACTGCCCTATATCAAGACTTTTACAAACTGTAAATAACATAATAACTTTATAAATATTCCATTAAACAATGTAAACTTAAGCCACAGAGAAAAACCTTACTTTTGTGGGATCTTGTCATTCGATCAGATTTAGCAGATGCATCCTTAACTCGGTTATGATATTCTAAAAGGAATGTTCGTTCATGCTCAAAGAAATCATCTACATCCTATGGGATCAAAAGAAAATATGAGTTTTTTCCACTTACTTGCTTTAGTCTAACACATAAATCACTTTGTTATCCTTATAATCATAAAAGATCATCAGTAAAACAGCATAGCTATCCTCTAATAATCAGACATTATATTGATTTCATCAACAAGTTCAGACTTTAAAAATATGTGTTTCTATCTATCAAGTAAGAAATCTACAGTTTTGCAGCTGAAGGCTTAGAGCTCCCCATTATGGTTGAGGCTCACGTGTTGTACTCAAATGTGTTCCTACTTGTGCTCCGCCTCTACAATCCTGTTCTCCAACAGATATACTTCTGCCAGTGGGAGTGACCATTTGCTTTTGAGAAAAAACGGAAAAAAGCCTGGCAGACAAGTGAAAATCTGTTTCTCTTGGTCTGTTATGCATTCTATGGGCCGTTCCTGAATGCTGTTCCTGAATCCCTTAGTCATTAGGGCCCTCTCTGACTGCTTTAGGGAACCTGGCCAAACTAGCTATCTGGGAGCAATTTTCATATTAAACACTGTTTTCAATCTTTTCTGGAACAAAACTAGAAATACTTTAAAAATAAAAACTATTAACAGTACTTTCCTCCCTTCTAAAACAGCAATTGTTTATTGAAAAAGCACCAGCTGAAATGATGTAATTTGAGACCGACATCAACAGTACACAGAAGCAGAAGTTAGTACTGATAAAATGTCATTTAAAATCTGCTAATTCATGTGTACCTGTTTTCTTAAATGTAAAAATGGAGCTAAACTAAGTTGCAGAGCTGTAGTGAAGATTAATGAAATGTGGGCTACCAAACACCACACTGTAAATGTTCAAAAAATGTCAGCTATTACTTCAATAAAATTATCAAAATCATAATCAATATAGTGGTTTATACTTAATGTTAAGAAAACAATTCAGTGGGCTTCCCTGGTGGCGCAGTGGTTGAGAGTCCGCCTGCCGATGCAGGGGACATGGGTTCGTGCCCTGGTCCGGGAAGATCCCACATGCCACGGAGCGGCTGGGCCCGTAAGCCATGGCCGCTGAGCCTGCGCTCTGCAACGGGAGAGGCCACAACAGTGAGAGGCCCGGGTACCGAAAAAAAAAAAGAACAATTCAGGGACTTCCCTGGTGGTACAGTGGGTAAGACTTGGGGCCAGGGTTTGATCCCTGGTCAGGGATCTAGATCCCGCATGCATGCCGCAACTAAGAAGTCTACATGCTGCAACTAAAGATCCCACATGCCACAGTGAAGATCCTGTGTGCTGCAACTAAGACCCATCACAGCCTAAATAAATAAGAAAAGAAAAAATTCAACATTAATGCAGAAGTATCAAAATGGAAGTAAGCTCTTTTTTTTTGGCCACAACACGCGGTTTTGGGATCCAGTGGAAGTCCTAACCACTGGACCGCCAGGGAATTCCCATGCTGAGTCTTTATTAGAAAGTAGCCACAGCACATGCACTGTCAACATATCAAATGATCTGTCTCTGCAAAATTAAAGTATAAATCAAATAGTACTTTACAGCCAAGTTTTACTATATATGTATTTATAAAAACAGGCAATGATGACACAGCATTATTTATCTCTTATTTGTATTTACTTAATAATGTAATATAAATATTTTTCTCTTATATTTTAATGGTTAGAGTTTTCAGAAAAATCCATTTTTGTACCATTTTCAGAAATCATTAAGAAAAATTTAGGTGTTACCTTGGTAAATAATTAACTTTGTAAGTATATTCACACATATCATCTCATTCAATCTTTCTAACAATTCTGTGAGCTAGGTGGCATTACTGACCAAATTTTGAAAATGGGAAAACTGATGTTCAGAGAAAGGGAAGGTCATGTAGCTACTATGAGACGAAACCAAAACCTCAACTGAGCTCTTCTAACTCCGTATCTGAACCCAGGTCTGCCCTTAACATTTGTAAGGCCAATTGGATAAGTGTACAAATGGAGGCAGACCCTCTGTGCCCGACCCTGTGACTCCGTAAGGCACCCAGAGGGAACTCACGCGCATGTGGCTGGACGTTCATTCCACCCTGCACACTGACATTCTGCCCTGTGCCTTCCCTCTACTCCTTGACCACCTGTGGAGGACAGCCACCAGCAGCCCAGTCTACCCACTGGCAGATGGACTCAAGGAAAAAGCCCATGCAGGACCTGAAAGAAGGCTTTCTAGATACCTGGAGAATGGTCTGGTTTGGAGGAAAGGGGCATGGGCTCTGGGTGGGCATCTCCACTTGGACCTGCAGACCTATTACCCCTTAGAGAAGGGAGCTCTTGAGGAACCCAGGGCGAGGGGCCCAGTTTCCCAGGCCTAAGAAGTCTACTATCCAAACTTCTCTTTTACTCTAATATAATCATCCACACATCTGAAATCTCAACCTATCTCCCTCTTAGAAGTAAATCCTCAAACCAACACCTCTGTTAATTAAATACTCTTACCTTTACTCCAGAAACAATTACTCCATCTGCTGACTTAACCATGTTTTTAAAGAAATCTTCAAGTTTCTCTTTTTTATTTTTCCCTCGCACACTCAACTGAAAGAAAGGTTAATTTAAGTTAGCATTTCTTTTAAGATTACAAATGAGAAGTTAATGCCTCCGTTATTCTCTGATATCAAAATGGCAATCTCAAAAGGACCCCAGTTTTTTTTTTTTTTTAATTGTGTTTTTTTTTACTTGTTGACAGTTTGCTTTATTTATTTATTTATGGCTGTGTTAGGCCTTCGGTTCTGTGCGAGGGCTTTCTCTAGTTGTGGCAAGCGGGGGCCACTCTTCATCGCAGTGCGCGGGACTCTCGCTCTCGCGGCCTCTCTTGTTGCGGAGCACAGGCTCCAGACGCGCAGGCTCAGTAGTTGTGGCTCCCGGGGCCCGTTGCTCCGTGGCACGTTGGATCTTCCCAGACCAGGGCTTGAACCCGTGTTCCCTGCATTAGCAGGCAGATTCTCAACCACTGCGCCACCAGGGAAGCCCAAGGACCCCAGTTTTTAAATTTAATAAAGTGGCAATTTCATCACATCTATCAGTGATTTTCAATTTCGAGGACATTAAAGAGGAATCTGGCCTCACTCCCAAAGATTCAGGTTCAGCTGATCTACAATAAGGCCTAGCTTTCCCAAATTTTATAAGTATATTTGATAATTTTTTTGTAAGTAACCCTCTTATCATACTTTGTCAAACACTACTATATCATACAAAGTCAACTAAATATTAACTCAGGAAGGAGTTCCTTTGAACATGCAAAAGTTACTGGAGTACAATATACCATTATATGATTCTGTAAAAGCTCTGAAAATACATTTTGAAAATTCTTCACTCCAAACCCATCCAAATATCATCTCCTCACCTGTTTTGGGGTCAGCAACTCATGATGCAAAGGACACAAAAGATGACTCTGCCTGGCATGAATGGTATATCTAAAGGCAAAGGTGAGAAGCAGCTAGCTCTTTGACTTTACTACTTGCTGCATCAGGGACCCTAGGAAGGAACATCCCATCTAATTTCCTTATCTACTGCCATGGCTTCATTGCCCACCTTTACGTAAGTGACTCACAAATTTCTCTCACTAGCCCCAAGCTCTTTCCTGAACCTTAGATCCTATTTCCAACTGCCTACATCATATCCTTACACGGAGATTCTGCTAACCCCACATTAGAAAAATCTTTTTTTTTTTTGCAGTACACAGGCCTCTCACTGTTGTGGCCTCTCCCATCGCGGAGCACAGGCTCCGGACACGCAGGCTCAGCGGCCATGGCTCACGGGCCTAGCCGTTCCGCGGCATGTGGGATCTTCCCAGACCGGGGCACGAACCCGTGTCCCCTGCACCGGCAGGCGGACTCTCAACCATTGAGCCACCAGGGAAGCCCTAGAAAAATCTTAGAAGAGTACTCATTATAGTCTAATCTCCAAGTTTTCCCTCTTCCTGGTTCCCTATTCATGCACCCCCCTACCCTGCCCCATCCAACCAGTCTCTCAGATTCTCGTACGTTCCCTAAAGCCCCGTACCTTTCATTAAAAATCTTAAGTAATCTACAATTTCTTTCTTTCTCTCACAGCTCAAATTCTACCAGCAAATTTCTGAAATGTGTCCCTTTCCACTCCCACTGTCCTGCAGAAGTCCTCATTATCTACTGCCTAGACTACTACACTGGACTTCTAGTTAACATCCCTCATCTCCTCCATCCAATCCATTCTGCTGCTTGTGATAACTTTCCAACATCACATTTTGGAAACTTAATAAGTTTACAAAGTTTCATAATGTTCAGAGAATGAAGGCCAATCTCCTTAGCACGGTACTCAATACTTTGAAAAATCTGGTTCAACTTACCTTTCCACCTACCACTCTACCCCTAGAGAGCCTTATGTTCCAAACTGTTCTCAAAAGAAGCTCTGAGCTTTTAGGTTCCTCTGCATCTGAAATGATACCTCTTTCACCAAAAATTCTTTTTTCAAAAAAATTTTTGGCCATGCTGCACAGCTTGCAGGATCTTAGTTCCCTGACCAGGATCGAACCTGGGCCCCTGGCATTGGAAGCTCGGAGTCCTAATCACTGGACCACCAGGGAATTCCCCCACCAAAAATTCTATTCAGACTTTAACATTCAAATTAAAAGGCATCTCTTCATGTAACCCTTTCAAATTCCCAGTTAGAATTCACTGCTCTATCTTAGGCCTCCCAAAGCATTCTAGGGTTTTTTTTCTTTCTTTCTTTTTTTTTACTGAATTTTTGATATTATTTCACTAATTCACTCATTTAACAAACCATAATGCATGTATACTATAACCATGCACTGTTGCTAGGTGTTAGGAATATTAAGATGATTAAGAGGTGAGGTGGTCTCTATTCTTAAAGTAACTTATGGTGCACAGGAGGACAGAGAGAAGTAAACATATAATTACATATAGTGTGAGGAGTATAGTGTTAAAGATATCCATGGGGCATTAGGGGAGCACCCAAGGAACTTAATACAGACTGAGGGGTTGAGAAAGATAAGACTGGAGGTTGAATGACCAGTCAGGGACTGCTTCGAAAACCCAGGCAAAGATTATGAAAGTCAGGACTAATCTTTAGGTCTAGTGATGGAAGGATGCAGACACATTCCTAATATAGTAAAATAAAACAGAGAGAACTTGGTGACTCCTGAATAGGTAGTAGGAATCCTGAGTAATTTTCACAGTGTAAGGGACTGGGAGGTAGTGATACCTTCTTTGAGATATATAGAGAATACAAAAGGAGGCATGAATGTAAAGAAGAGTGTAGCTGAGTGTAAAATGCCAAGGGGACTCAGGGGTGATACAGATTCCTTCCTCCCTCCCTCCCTCCCCTCCCTTCCTTCCTTTCGCTGTGCCACACAGCTTACGGGATCTTAGCTCCCCAGCCAGGGATCGAACCCATGCCCCCTGCAGTGGAAGCGTAGAGTCCTAACCACTGGACCGCCAGGGAATTCCCATCGATTTCTAACTTAAGAGCATATTAGAGTAGATGGAGCCACAGGAGTAGATGATATGACTTAGAATTTACAGAATTAGAAGTCTAGAGGAACTTTTAGACTTCTAGAGAACTCAGTGAGTGAACCTTGGAAGAATCAGATTTAAATGAATGGATATATGGAGGATAAAACCCATGAAAGAGACTGGGAAGTAGCTTTAGAGTTAAGATGAAAACACATCGAGAGACATTCCCATAGATCCATAAGTACATGGGAGCCAGCATAGCCAGAAAGATATCTTAGTCAACATGGAAACGCATGATGTATTTCACCACATTAATAGAATAAAGGACAAAAACTGCATGATCACCTCAACAGATGTACTTTTTCATTATAAAACCACTCAAAAAAGTAGGAATAGAAAAGAACTTCTTTAAGCTGACAAATGGCATCTATGAAAAAACCCACTGTTAACATCATACCTGACAGTGAAACAGTGAATGCTTTCTCCCTAAGATCAGGGACAAAACAAGGATGTCTGCTCTTGTCACTTCCATTTAATACTGTACTGGAGGTTCTAGTCGGGGCAGTTAGGCAAGCAAAGGAAAAAAAGGAATCGAGATTGGAAAGGAGAAAGGAAAAAAGAAAAGAAGCTATTAAATGAGTGTGGCCACCAAGGTGGTTGAAGGCTGTGGGGATGCAGGCGGCTCAGGGATTTGATTTCTGATTGGTGTCCCCCCACTGTGAACAAGGCCACTATCTGATCAAGAAGAATTACTGAAATCAGCTTTAATGGAAAATGGGAGAGACCTGTCTAAAGTCATAACCTTGTTATAAGGAACAGAGCAGGCACTCTAGGTGAGATGAGAAAGACAAAAGGGCTACTGACAGGGTCAAAGTGCAGGAGAGGTCAAGGGTCTAAATGCAGCAGTGAGTCAAAGAACTACTATAAGGCGAACAGGGAAAAAGGGAGCTGTGAGGACAGAAGGCTATGTTTGGAGTCTATAATATTAGGGTTTAAGAACTCAGAGGTGGGGCTTCCCTGGTGGCGCAGTGGTTAAGAATCCACCTGCCAATGCAGGGGACACGGGTTCGAGCCCTGGTCTGGGAAGATCCCACATGCCCCGGAGCAAATAAGCCCGAGCGCCACAACTACTGAGCCTGTGCTCTAGAGGCCGTGAGCCAAAACTACTAAGCCCATGTGCCTAGAGCCTGTGCTCCACAACAAGAGAAGCCACCGCAATGAGAAGCCCATGCACTGCAACGAAGAGAAGCCCCAGCTCGCCGCAACTAGAGAAAGTTGCGTGCAGCAAGGAAGACCCAATTCAGCCCAAAATAAACAAATAAATTTATTAAAAAAAAAAAAAGAAAAAAGAACTCAGAGGTGAGACAAGGTCCTGGGTGTGGTCACTGATGTGGCAGGAAGAAATGAATGAAGATTAGGGTGTTGAATAGGTAAGATATTCAATCTACTGCTAAGCAGACTAAAGCTATAGGTACTGGAAACAGAAGGGGCAGAGCTACATAAGGAAAGCACTACTACAGGCAATCATTCCTTATAGCAGTGACCATTTCTCATGAGACTAAATGCTGGAACAAGATTTTCTAGGCCTTCCAAATGCCCCACAGCCTTTTCAGACTTCAAGACACTTTCACTCTATTTCAACAGCTCATCAGTCCCATGACCCTCTGAAGCTCAGATAGTAGAATAGCACAGACAGATTTCTTTTCCAGCACCACTGAACAGAGTAAAGATCTGAGAAACAGCATTAGAGACAAGGTTGAGAAAAACCTTTTAATTTTGGGCCTATGATCTTCTACAACCTGTTAACATACTTGTTATTAATTAATTAAAAAATATTTGCAAAATACTTTCCAGTCCATCTTTCTAGGCTTTCTCCAAAACAACCATTTGCTGATATTAAAAGGGTTACTAAAATGCATCATCATCATCTCTATTAAGCACATATTAATTTGTAAGGAAGAGGGACTTCCCTGGTGGTCTAGAGGTTAAGACTCCGTGCTCCCAATGCAGGGGGCCCGGGATCGATCCCTGGTCAGGGAACTAGATCCCGCATGCATGCCACAACTAGAGAGTTCGCATGCCGCAACTAAGAGTCCACATGCCACAACTAAAAAGATCCCATGTGCCACAACTAACACCTGGTGCAACCATAAACAAACAGATAAAAACAACAACAAATATATTAAAAAAAATTGTAAGAAAAAAATAAATCTACCTTGGTGGGAAAATCCTAGGATTTATGAAAGCTATTTATAAAGCGGAACTAAACACAATAATCTTTCACTTATTATTTTAACAAATATTAATTTTACATCTTAATGGTCAGGCACAATTCTAAAATAGTGAGGATACAATGGTGAAAAATTCAAGTCTTACTCCCAGAGAGCTTACTTTTTAGTAGGGGGCGATAGATAATGGATATATAAACAATTTTTAAAATACAGATATAGGGACTTCCCTGGTGGTGCAGTGGTTAAGACTTGCCTGCCGATGCAGGTGACATGGGTTTGAGCCCTGGTCTGGGAAGATCCCACATGCCACGGAGCAACTAAGCCTGTGCACCTCAACTACTGAGTCTGTGCTCTAGAGCCCACAAGCCACAACTACTTAACCTGCGCTCTAGAGCCTGTGAGCCACAACTACTGAAGCCCACACGCCTAGAGCCCGTGCTCCGCAACAAGAGAAGCCACCACATGAGAGGCCGACGCACTGCAACGAAGAGTAGCTCCTGCTCTCCACAACTAGAGAAAAGCATGCACACTGCAATGAAGACCCAACGCAGCCTAAATACATACATACATACATACATACATACATACATACAGATATATAATTTCAGATAGTACCAAGAGCTGTGGCAACAGGATAGAGTACTTGGAGCCTGAGTACTAAGGTGGCTTTGTGCTGGTACCACCATGCCTCACTTTACACCTAATGTTGCTCTACCAAATTATTGTTAAGGTTTTAGCCCAGGCCATAATAAAGGCCAGCATAAACAAATTCATAAAGGTAAAAAAGCGATGACAGCATTCTATCATGTGTTTGTTAGCAACCCTATTCATGAATCATTTTTAGACTCTTATAATTCACAATACAGCCAGCATTCTTTACAATTCCTAGTTATTAAGTGACTATAGGTCAGTACCACATACTACACTTATGCTTGTGAGAGTACCCATGCTAAAGTGCTACATTTTGAGTTACACTTTCATACCCTTTTAAAAGTTTTCTCTACTGCTAGACTTAGGACATTTTATTGTCACAGCTACTAAAACCAAACCAAGAGGGAAAATTTGTATACACAAAATTCTTTGATCTTGATGTTGACTTGTAAGCAAACAAACCACTATGTTTACATTTGTTTTCTACTAAAATTATGAGTTAATCTTGTCATCCAAATATAGATCCCAAGATCTGTATCACCCATCCACTGAAAAGAGTTTTTCCAGCACCACAAATGAAGAAAGTTCAACCACCTCAAATCTCTTTTTGCATTATAACAGTTTTCAGGCCGGGAAGAAGGGAGGAAAAGTAGGAGCAATCAGCACTGAAGAAGGCAGGATAAACAGATCAAGAGTCAATGGTTAGGGCTTCCCTGGTGGCGCAGTGATTGAGAGTCCGCCTGCCGATGCAGGGGACACGGGTTTGTGCCCCGGTCCAGGAAGATCCCACATGCCGCGGAGCGGCTGGGCCCGTGAGCCATGGCCGCTGAGCCTGCACGTCCGGAGCCTGTGCTCCGCGATGGGAGAGGCCACAACAGTGAGAGGCCCGCGTACCGCA